CAAGCAGTGACCATGGGGGCGCTCAGTGCACCGGGGACGCTCAGAAGAGCACGTACACGTCCAACGCCACCAGGACCAGCCCCCCCCCGAGGGGAGGGGGCCCCCCTGCCACCCGCCAGGCACCCAGGCACTGGTCGGGGACACAGGACACCCCTCGCCACCAGGCGGGGCACCTGGTGCGAGTCACGGGGCGGGTGCCTGGCCTGCTCCCCCCAGTCCCCTTGCCCAAGGGGGACAGAGCAGGACTCCCCGTGAGCCTGGCCGAAGCCAGACCCCCCCTCCACACCCTGGCGCGACCGGGGAGTCGCCGGGCCAATACAGTGGAGGGGACCCGATTCGGCCGTAACCGAATCGGGATTACCGTTTAAGCCCGAAGGCCGGGGTCGGTGCCCCCACTGCCGAAACCCCCCACCCGCCCACGGCAATGCCGCGGGAGGGTGGGTGGTTTCAGGAGTGGCGCAGCCCCCATGCAGGCCACGACTAAGCGGGTTTCAGTTCCCCCGGACGCCGGGAGGTGCCGCCCACACCAACCGGCTGCCCGCCCGGGGGCCCTCCTCCTCCTCCTCCTCCTCCTCCTCCTCCTCCTCCTCCTCCTCCTCCTCCTCCCCCATCGCCCTCCTCATCCTCCTCATCCGCCTCCTCCTAATCCTAATCCTGCTCCTCGTGGTCCTCCTCCCTCCTCCTCCTCCCCCTCCCCCCCCCTTGCTCGCACCCTCCTCCACCACCACATGAGCCTCCTCCTCATCCTCCTCTTCCTCCCCCTCGCTCGCACCCTCCTCCTGCTTCCTCCCCCTCGCTCGCACCCTCCTCCTGCCTCCTCCTCCTCCTCCCCTCCTCCTCCTCCTCATGATCCACCTCTCCTCCTCATCCTCCTCCTCCTCATATCCTCCTCCTGTTTGTTCATCCGCACTCCTCTCCTCTTCCTCCTCTTCTTCCTCCTCTCTCCTCCTCCTCTTCCTCTCATCCCTTCCTCCTCCTCCACCTCCTCTTCGCCCCCTCGCTCGCTACCTTCGTCGTCGTCGTCCTCCTCCTCCTCCGCCTCCTCCTCCTGCCTTCCTGCCCCCCCTCCTCCCGTCCGCCTTATCCTCCTCTTTCCTCAATCCTCAAGCCCTATTCGCCTCGAGCCCATCGCTCGCAACAATCCTCCCCCCTCCCCCATCCCCTCCCCCCCTCCTCCACCCCTCACGAACCTCCTCCCCCTCCTCAAATTCCCCCCTCCTCCTGCCCTCCTCGCCCCGCATCCTCCTCCTCCTCCTCCTCCTCAACCTCGCCCCTCCTCTCCTCCTCATCCTGCTTCAACCTGCTCCTCCTCTCCTCCGCCTCCTCCTCCGTCCTCCTCCTCCTCCTCCTCCTCCTCCGCCCCGTCCCTCTCCCGCTCCTCCTGATACAAAATCATCATCATCATCATCTCATCATCATCATCATCATCATCATCATCATCATCATCATCATCATCATCATCATCATCATCATCATCATCATCATCATCATCATCATCATCATCATCATCATCATCATCATCATTACCACCACCATCATCATCATCATCATCACCATCATCAGCATCAGCATCATCATCATCAGCATCAACATCAACATCAACACCACGATCACCATCACCATCACCATCATCATCATCATCAGCATAATCATCATCGTGCTCATCATCATCAGCAGCAGCATCATGATCATCATCATCATCATCAGCAGCATCATCAGCATATGCATCGTCATCATCATCATCAGCATCATCATCATCAACAGCATCATCAGCCTTATCATACTCATCCTCATACACACCGTCATCGTCATCAGCAGCATCATCAGCCTGATCATCATCAGCATCACCATCATCATCAACATCATCGTCATCAACAGCATCATCATCAACAGCACCATCAGCAGCAACGGCAACAGCAGCATCATCATCACCACCATCATCATCATCAGCAACAGCAGCATCAGCATCACCATCACCATCAGCGTCACCATCAGCATCATCAGTATCACCACCATCATCATCATCATCACCATCATCAGCATCAGCATCATCATCATCATCATCATCATCACCATCAGCATCAGCTTCATCAGCATCAGCATCACTCTCCCCCTCCTCCCCCTCCTCCTATTCCTCCTCCTCCTGCTCTCCCTCCTCTCCCTCCTCCTCCTCCTCCTCCTCCTCCTCCTCCCACTCCTCCTCCTCCTCCTCCTCCTCCTCCTCCTCCTCCTCTTCCTCCTCCTCATCCTCCTCCAGGCCCAGAATCCAGAGCCCCTCCTCAGCCCAGCGTGTACTCAGCCCATTGCCTTGCCAAGAGATTCGACATCCATGTCCGCGCCCTCGCGGTCTGACTCCCAGGGCGCGGCCCCCGTGGATGCGCAGCCGCGTGGGCACGCTCCGCGCGGGGCCCCCGCGAACAGCACGCGCCCCTGCGACCGTGGGGTCGCGGCCCAGGGAGGGGGCCCCGGGCCCGCGAGGCGGAGGACGGGGACGCGTTCCTCGCCCACGGCCTGCGCTCCGTCGACCAGGTTGTAGTCGGACAGCTGGCGCGCGTCCTCCAGCTGCTTGCCCCCGTAGAAGAGCCTCTGGTCGGCCTCGGGGCTGGCGGCGCAGGCGCCGCAAAGGGGTGGGGGCGGGGGGGGGGCGGCGGCCCTCGGACGGCGAAGGGCGGAGCAGCGACCCGCAGGATGGCCACCCCTGCCAACGGGGCCCTCTCGGGGGGGGGCCGGCTCAGAGGGGGCACATCGAGCTGGACTTGGATACATCGCCGGTAGACATCGGCGACAATCACCCGATAGCGAATCCGAATGTTCCTGGGCGGGCTGGAATGGGTGATCCGGGGTCGATGCATCCCACCCAGAGCCTATCCCCCTAGCACTGCCCCTGATTCAGAAAACGCCCCCAAATAAAGGAATCGAACAAAACGAGCCGCTAAATAACTAAACGCGCAGGGCCGTCAACTTAGCGCCCATTGTGGGGTTTGGGGCAGTTCTTCCTTCCTTGAGAGAAGGCAGGGTGTTCTCAGGAAGGGTGCCAGCAGCTTTCCAGAGGCTTCCAAGAAGGCATCTCAGAAGGCGGACTGGCCTCTAAGAGACGGGGTGTCTTGTAAAGAAGGGCGCCCCCCGCCCGCCCCCCCCACCCCGCCCTGACCCCTTGCACGTGACGCCAACGACCTCCATGATGCCCTCCCTGTCCCGCACTCTGCCCTTGAGGATGGCCACGGTGTCAGCCGCCTCGACCTGTCGACGATGACGACAACGACCACGACGGCGATCGATGACGCCGACGCCGACGCCGACGCCGACGCGGACGCCGACGCCGACGCCGCCGCCGCCGACGACACCGACGACGCCGACGACGCCGCCGACCGACAACCGACGACCGACGAACGACGAACCACCAACGACGGTTGACAAACGACGCCTTCCTCCGCCTATGGAGGTGTCAGGAGGTCCGTGGAACCTTTTTTTGGAAGCCGCTTGAAATCTCTTGGGGGGCGCCAAAGGCCTCTTGAAGGCCTTGGAAAGACCCAAAACGGTCAGAAACGGAACAAAGCGACCGACCTCGATAATCTATGATATGCAAGTCTGATGGCGCTGTCGGAAACACCAGGTCCACTCATGCATCGACAATGGGTCGAACGTCCGCCGGTTTGAATCGAAGGTGACTTGAACTTGAGTCGAATTTGAGTAGAGCTGGAACCGAAGAATCTTCTGACTACCTACCAGACCACCCCAACCCAACCCGAAGACCCGAATTTCGGGTTAGGGGGGGTATGGGCTCCATATGTGTTTGTTCGATTTTCCCGGACCCCCCCCCACTAGAAATCGAGGGTAAATCTGAGCCTTCGGGTTGGGTTGGGGTGGTTTGGTGGGTGGTGATCTTCGAGCTAGAGTCGGACAAGGGGGGCCGAGCAGCGGCGATGCATCGCCGATGGATCGGCAAACACTCCCCCGTGGCGAAGCCGCACGCTCATGGGCGGGTGGGCTTTCGGGCGTGGTCGGCGACGACGCGTTCCCTCGTTTGGGCAGGGACCGACCGTCCCGGCATTCCTGTAGTCCTACCACGAAATGTTCTTAGAACCCAAAAATGTACTAAGAACAAGAGCAGTGCTCTTAGAACATAAACCCGATGTTCTTAAAACAAAACGGTCCCAGCCAGAAATGTCCTAAGAACATTTCGCGCATACCACAAAACAATCTTAGAACATTGTTTGGTGGGGCTACAGGCGAGCCTGGACGCTCCGCTACTGCTTGACTCGTGACCCTCTCCCCCCGGTACTGTTACCTCCCGGCTTGCGGGTCACAGCTCTGCTCCCGGCGGCCGTTCGTGACGATCCAGGCCCCTCTGGAGCGTTCGCGTCGAGGCCAAGCTGCTGGAAAACGCACGGGGGCTGCAAAGCCACCGGAAGGCGACGACATTGTCAGAACACCGCGTTCGAATGTGTGAGATTTTGAAAATGTTAGCCACCGTGGGCCCCGTGGAAATGAACGCCACGCGGTGAGAGTTACGTGGTGCAGCTATGTCGTGTAAGCTCTGTGGTGTAAGATATATGGTTACAGCTATGTGGCATGAGCTCCGCTGGGCAAGCTACGCCGTGTAAGCTGCGCGGTGCAAACTGGAAGCGGGCATGCCGATGTGTAGGCTAGGCGGTGCAAGCTTCGTTGTGTACGACCGCTGGTCGAAGCTATGTGGCGCAAACTACGTGGCGCAAGCGATGTGGTAAACGAAAGCCTGGCAAAACATCCCATCGCATGCAGCTGTGAATGCCGCGGTCGTGAATGTCGTCTTCGGTGGAAATCCTGACCCGGGCACGACGCGCGTGACGAAGGCGCCGCAGTGCGATGGCGGCGGCACGCGGGCGTTGCCAGCGGGGCCTTCGGTGGAGTTTCCCATGGGGCCTTCGGCGCGGTTTTCTCTGTCCGTGGTTTGTTCGATGGGGGGCACGAGGAAAACTGGACCGTCCACGATGGCCTGTTCCTTTTTTGTTTTCCTCTGCGGCCGCGTACTGCAAACACCATCGCTGCGGGCGCATCCCAACGCGGAACCCCCGCGACGCGCGCCTGCGCCCCGAAGGGGTCCCAGCGACGCGCGCGGGTCGTCCGCCGAGCGGGGCCTGGCTGGCTGATGGCGGTTGAAGCTGGCCGCTGGGCCAAGCGACGACGGGCGAGCGAGGCACTGGGCAGAACGCAGCACGGAGTTCCCGCGACGCGCGTTGGTCGCCCCTAGAGGATGCCAACGACGCGCGCGGGTCGCCCGCGGCAAGAGGCCATACGATTGGACAATCGAAAGAAGGCGTTACTCGGGAGGGCCAGCTCCATAGGTCCGGCTTCACGGATAAACTCGGTGAGGCATACCTCCCTGGCGAGGGCGTCGCCTTCCTGCTGCATCGCTTCGTGCGCGCCGCAAACTGTTCAAGCGGCCTCCTCAAGCCTTTGTTGTCCTTTTCTGGCGGTTTTGTGCCTTCGGCCCCGCCCCCTACGGGGCCACGAACACTGTGACCGTGTGCCGAAATGGACATGCGGCGGAAGGGGTGGGCGCATGGGGGTACTGCCGCCAAGGCTTTCGGTGGAAGTCCCGATGGGGCCGCGAACCGTGTGAGGGGTGTGCCGAAATGGGCATGCCGTGGGCAGGGTGGCAGCACGCGGGCGCTAAAAATAGGGCCTTCGGTGGAGCTCCCTATGGGCCACGAACCGTGGCTGTGCCGAAATTGGTACGCGGTGGGCGGGGTGGGTGGGCGCACGCGGACGCTGCCACTGGAGTTGTTGGTGGACCTCACCATGGGGACACGAACCGTTTAAGAGGTATGCGAAATTGTCATGCGGTGGGCGGGGTGGGTGCATGTGGACGCTGCCACTGGGGCCCTAGGTGGAACTCCGTATTGGGCCACGAATCGTGTGAGGGGTTGTGCCGGCTTGGGCATGCGGCGGGCGGGGTGGGCGCACGTGGACGCTGCCACTGGGGCCTACGGTGGAGCTCCATACGGGGCCAAGAACCGTGTGAGGGGTGCGCGGACATGGACATGTGGAGGTCATAAGCATGCAAGGAGGAGGGAGGAGGGGGAGGAGGAGGAAGGAGGGAGGAAAGACCGCGGGGCGCTGTCTCTTCAAAGCGAGGACCCAACACTACATAATGGTTGGGAGCTTCGTGGTGCCAGTTATTCCGTGTAAGTTCACGAGGTGCCTGCGATGCTGCGCTGGCGGCAACGTGGCGCATCCCCGATATATACCCTCAATCACGAGGCGACCCACTGGTCCCCACGAGGCGGCACGGGTCTGCAACGTGAAGAGACCCACTTGCGGGTCTGCAGCGTGGAGATACCCACTTGCGCCCATCGAGTTCCTTCACCAAGAAAAATATGGAACCCTGGGTGCCATCGCTGTTTTGGAACCGACCTCGCTCGTCGTCGTCGACGGCGTTTGCAAAACCGGGGAACCCCAAAAACACCGATACCGCTACGCCCCGGACCTCTCCCAGTGTGCGGAGATGAGGGCCGCCCAGGAAGCCGCCCAAAAAAGCAAACAGGCCGAAGGTTAGCGGTGTGAGAATATTCCCCCTCCTGAAACAAACTCGATCGTCGTCGGCGGCGGCGACGACGAAACGGCGTCGCAGCGACGACGCAGCGGCGACGAACGGCTTCCCGCTCCAGCGGCGCGCCGGCGCTGCGGCGCAAGCTACATGGTAAACGCAAGCCTGGCGAATGACCCAACAATATGCAGCTGCGAGCACCGTGGTCATGAGCGTCGTCTTCGGTGGACATCCTGACGAGGGCACGACGCGCGCGACGAGGGCGCAGCAATGCGATGGCGGCGGCACGCGGGCGCTGCAAGCGGGGCCTTCGGTGGAGCTTCCTGTAGGCCCTTCAGCGCGGTTTCCTCTGTCCGCGGTCACCAGGAAAGCTAGACCGTCCAGGATGGCCTTTTCCTCATTTTGTTCTCCCTGTTTGCCCGCGTACTCCAAAAGCCATGGCTGCGGGCGCAGCGCAGCGCGGAACCCCTGCGACGCGGCGCGGTTTCCCCGAGGGGTCCCCGCGACGCGCGCAGGTCGTCCGCTGCGCGGAGCCAAGAGAGCTAGCTGGCCGGCCGATAGTTGGCAAGGCTTTGGCCGCTGGGCAGAGCGATGGCGGGCGAGCGAGGCACTGGGCAGAACGCAGAACGGAGTTCCCGGGACGCGTGCTGGTCGCTCCGAGAAGATTCCAGCGACGCGCGCGGGTCGCCCGCGGCGCGAGGCCAAACGGTCAAACAATCGAAAGAAGGCGCTGCTCGGCCCGGCCCGCTCAGTAAATCCAGCCGCAAGGATAAACCTGGTGAAGCCTAACTCCCTGGCGAACGCCTTCGCCTCCCTCCTGCACTGTTTCGTGCGCGCCGCAAACTGCTCCAAATAGTTCTACAAGCCTTCTTACGGCCTGGGGCCTTCGGCCCCGCTCCGAATGGGGCCGATAACCGTGTGAGGGGTGTGCTGCAATGGACATGCGGCGGGCGGGGTGGGCGCATGTGGATGCTGCCAATGGAGCCTTCGGTGGAGCTCCCTATGTGGCCACGAACCGTGTGAAGGACACCTCCACATGGATGCGGCGTGCGGGATGGGCGCACGCGGACGCTGCCTCCGGGGACTTCAATGGAACTCCTCTTGGGGCTACGAACCGTGTGATGGATGTGCCAACATGGGCATTCGGTGGGCGGGGAAGGCGCATGCGGACGCTGCTGCAAGGGCCTTCGGTGGACTTCCATATGGGGCCACGAACACTGTGAAGGGTGTGCCAACAGGAGTATGCGGTGGGCGGGGTGGGCGCATGCGGACACTGTCCTGGGGGCATTCGGTGGAGCTCCCTATGTGGCCCCGAGCCGTGCAAGAGGTGTGCCGAAATGGGCATACCGTGGGCGGGGTGGCCGCATGTGGACGCTGAATGTAAGGCCTTCGGTGGAGCTCCCTATGGGGCCACGGACCGTGTGAGGGATGTGCCGACATGGGCATGCGGTGGGCGGGGTGGGCGCATGCGGGCGCTGCCTCTGGGGTTTTCGGTCCCTGCGGCATGCTGACACTGCCACTGGGACCATCGGTGGAGCACCCTATGTGGCCATGAGCCGTGCCCTGGTGTGTGTGCCGAAGTGGGCATGCGGTGGGCGGGGTGGGTGCATGCCGACGCTGCCTGTAAGGCCTTCGGTATGGGTCCCTTTGGGGCCACGAACCGTGTGGGTGGTGTGCCGACATGGTCATGCAACGGGCGGGGTGGGCGCATGCGGGCGTTGCCTCTGGGGCGCTCGATGGAACTCCCTACGGGGCCACGAGCCGTGTCAGGGATGTGCCAACATCGGCATGCGGTGAGCGGGGTGAGCGCGCGTCGACGCTGCCATTGGGGCCTTCAGTGAAGCTCCATGTGGGGCCACGAATCGTGTGAGTGGCGTGCCGAAACGGGCATGCGGCGGGCGGGGTGGGCGCATGTAGACGCTGCCACTGAGGCCTTTGGTGGAGGTCGATATGGGGCCACGAACCGAGTGAGAGGTGTGCTGAATTGGGTATGCGGAGGTCCAAGCCACGCTGGGAGGAGGGAGGAGGGGGAGGAGGAGGAAGGAGGAAGGAACGCGGGGCGCTGCCTCTTCAAAACGAGAACCCAACACCACATACTTGTCACGAACTAGGTGGTGCCAATTATTCCGTGTAACCTCACGAGGTGCCCGCGAGGCTGCGCTGGTGGCGCTGTGGCGCATCCCCGGCATACCCCCCCAAGCCTGGGGCGACCCCGATGTGCCCACGAGGCGGCACGGGTCCGCAACGTGGATCGTCCAAAGTGCGCCCATCGAGTTCCGTCACCCCAAACAACTAAGGACCCCCGAGTGCAAACACTGCTCGGGGAACGACCTCGGTCGTCGTCGTCCACGGCGGCAGCACAGCTGAGGAAATCAAGCGGCACCGATACTGCTGCTCCCTGGGCCTTTCCCGGGGTGCGTCCTGACCCGTCTTTCGAGGCGACTCCAGCGTTGGAAACGAGGGCCGCCCAGGAAACGCCAAAAACAAATAGGACACATAACACAAAGCTATCAGTATGAGTACCGCTTCCCCTTCCGAGACGAGCTCGACCGTCGTGTCGACGGCGACGGCGAAACGACGTCGCAGCGAAGGGCAGCGACGGCGAGCGGCCTCCAGCTCCAGCGGCGCAGCGGCGCTGGAGGCCCCGCCCGATGCTGGGGCCGCCGCGAGAGCGAGGCGCATGGGCATAGCGGGGCGCGCCGTCGAGCGGAAGCGATGGGGGGTCTTTCGCTCCTCCTCCTGCTCCTCCTCCTCCTGCTCCTCCTCCTTTTCCTCCTCCTCCTCCTCCTCCTCCTCCTCACCTTCCTCCTCCCCCCCTCCACCTCCTCCTCCTCCTCCTCCTCCTTCTCCTCCACTTTCTCCTCCTTCTTTTTCCTCCTCCTCCCCCTCCCCCTTCCCCTTTTCCTTCCTTCTCTCCTCCTCCTCCTTCTCCACCTCCTCCTCCTCCCTCATTCCCTCTCCTCCTCCTCCTCCTCCTCCTCCTCCTCCTGCTGCTCCTCTTCCTCCTCCACCTCCTCCTCCTGATCCTCCCTTCTCTTCCTCCTCCTTTTTTTTTACCAGCGTGCAGGAGCCCAGTGGCAAGGCGGGGACAGAGAGAAGGGGAGGAGGGGCGGGAGGCAGAGGGGGAACAACAACGTCCGCGCCGCCGCCCTCGGGGCGGCCCCGGCGCGCGCCCACCCAATTAGTCAGGGGCACCCGGCCGCTTTTGCAGACGAGCCCGCAGGGCCACGCGCCACTCGGCGTTGCGGGCATCAGCGGGCTCCGCAGGCAGCAGGAGCAGCATGGCGGCCCGCGGCGGCAGCGCGGGAGCCCAGCCGCCGCAGGGCCGGCTCGCGAGCCACCACCAGCACGGTGCCCAGCACCCGCATTTCAGGCAAGCGACCCACGCCGGGCCCTGCACCGCCGCATGCGGTTGCCAGTCGTCGCTTTCAAACAACGCCCTCGCCGCGGCCGCCTGCCCAGGGCGGGGGTGCTCGGGGGGCGCGGCAACCGCTGGCGGCCCAGACCGCGCCCGAGCCCGTGGCGCTGCGGCGGCGGCGACTGCTGCCACATCCCCCTCTCGCGGCGCCCGTCTGCGGCAGTGGCCTGGCGCCACCCAGCGGCGCCGGGCTCTGGGCCCAGCTGCGGCGGCGCGGCCGTGGTTGGCCTTCAGGGCTGCCAGCTCCGCGGCGGCCGCCACGCGCTGGACCGCCGCGAGCGCCTCCCACTGCCGCGTGCGCTGCTGGAGGAACGCCAGCGGTGGGAGCCGGGCCTTTGCGCCAGCGCCAGCCAAAATGCTCGCCGCGTCGTTCCCGGCCCCGTCCTCCGCCGCGATGCCCCGATCGGCAGCCTCCGCCTGGGCCAAGTGTGCTTTGCCCCAGCGAGCCCGCGGCAGCCCAGAGCGGCAGAGCGGCGCGATCGCCCCCCACAAATCAGCACGATGCCAATTCATCGGGCTCGCGCCGCATCGCGAATCGGTGACGACGTCCACTGGCGCCCTGGCCAGGGCGTGCGTGGCAGCCCAAAGCTCTGCGCACTGCGCCGTCTGGCGGCCGTCCACAGGGCCGTGGCTGTCGAGGCGCCCGACGGGGAGGCCTTCGAGGCGCGCGCCCCAACCCGCTCGAGCGAGCAGCGGGCCGGCTGGGTGCAGGCAAGAACTGTCAGTCCAAGCGCGGACACTCCCCTGCGGCAGCTCTGGCGTGGCGGGGTCTGGCAGAGGCGGCAGCTGGAGCGCCTGCTGGGCGTCGCTCGCCAGGGCCTCCAGGTGGGTGTCCAGAGGCAGCGCCGCGGCGCGCGCGACCTCGGTTGGCAGGCAGGCGCGGGCGGCCGCCAGGGTGAAGCCGCTGCGCGCCAACGCCGCGGCGCGGGTGGTCTCCCACCGCGGGCAGAGCCACAGTCGGTGCTCGAGGTCACCCACCGCGGCGCCGCAATGAGGGCACGCTGGCGGCCGCCCCCATTTTGCTGCCACGGACTCCGTGATCACATTGCCGGAGATCACCGTCCGTAGCGCGCCGGCGGCGTCAGGTGCCAGCTTCCCGGACTCCAGGAGCTGGCGCGTCGCCCAGCGGTGGACCCCCCGCCAGACTTTGGAAATCGGCCCGGCGCCGCGCGACCTCGCGGGCTCCTCGCCGCCCCCAGGCTTTCAACAACACCGCGCGCGTATCAGGAAGGGTGCGGGCTGCTGGGCGTCAGCCGTCTGGGGCGGCGGGGGTGCCCATCCAGGCTTCGACATCCATGCAGCTCAGCCATGCTGCGGATCACGGCGGCGATCGGGCCGAAGCGCCGGCCGTGCCCGGCAGCCATGGCGCCCGCGGCCTCCCTCCAAAGATCGCCAGGGAACCGCCGGCGTCGAAGGGCCGTGGCAGCCTGCCACAGCGGCGCGAGCACTGTCACCTGTCACAGCCAGCGGGTCGAGGCGCCAGCTCGGCGACAGGACGCCGAAGAGGATCTCCGCCGAGGCGCGCAGACCGCCGCGGCAGACCGACCTCTTCGCCGCGGCACGCAGGCCAGCCGACTCGCGAACCGGAGGCCGCCCACAAGCTGCGCCGCACGTGCCCGCCGCCGTGCCAGCTGCAGCGCCAAGCAGGCAGCGGCTGCTGAAGCGGAGCGGCGAGCGGCCGAGTCGGGCGAAACGCGTGGACGCCCCGTGCACCCGCGCCGCCGCGACCGCGCAGCGCCTGGCCCGGCCAGCTATGGCGGCGACGCCCAGGTCCCGGAACTCAGGGCTAGCCTGGATGTCCGGGACCTGCTCCGCGAGCCAACGCCGCAAGTCCTTGCTGCTCGCAAACTGCCGGCTCTTGGCGCGACTAAGTGTTCACCCCATCGCTGCCTCGAACGAGCTCCCCCTCCCCATTCCCCTTTTCCTTCCCTCCTTCTCCTCCTCCTCCGCCTCCTCCTCCTCCTCCTCCACCTCCACCTCCTCCTCCTTCCTCCTTCCTCCTCCATCTTCTCCTCCTCCTCCTCCTCCTCCTCCTCCTCCTTCACCTCCACCTCCTCCTCCTCCTCCTCCCTCCTCCTCCCTCAAGGGGCCGGCCGAAGGCCTAACTTTCGCGCTGTGGGCAGCCCTGCATATGCCCGCGCCCCCCCACCCCGGACCTGCACAACCGGCAAGGTTAGGTCAGGTTATCCTTGGGGGGGAGGGGGAGGGGGGGCAAGCCCGACAACATGGGCTATGGCCGGCCCTCCCAAAAAGTCTCCGACCGTCGTGATACCATTCGGAAGGCTAAACAAAGCAAAGACGGGGCTGGTCTGGCGACGGCGAACCCTGGCACCGAAGAGGCTACAGGAACCTGAGCCCCTCTTGAGCCCGACGTGGTCCTGCTTCCAGGGTCTTGACTGTACGCTTTCGGAGTTCCGCGCATATCTCTCTGGGGACGGCGCTGTGACCCTCTCCACACGCCCCGGGCGGCCAAATCTGGGAAATCGCGCCAAGGAAGGGTTTGGGAGTTCTCTCGCTGCGGCGCTGTGGCGGGCCTGGCTTGGGCAAAAACTGCTGCGTGAGGGGGAAGGATAAGAAGGAAGAACGGGATGAGGAGGGCAAGAAATGGGGATGGGATGATGTGGACGCACGGATGGAAAGGAGGACGACGGGTCGGAAGATAAACAGCAAGGCCAGGATGGAGGAGAACAACGACGACAAGGCAACGACGGCAGGGAACAGGGAGCCAGGAGGAGGAGGAGGAGGAAGAGAGGAGGAGGAGGAGGATGAGGGAGTGCGAGAGGGAGATAACAGAAACTATATAAGGCAGACCACACAGGTCCCGAGGAGCGAGTGAACATAAAAGAAGAATGACGAGGAAAGGAGAGGCGTGGGGGGCATACCGGAGGGGAAGTAGAGGAGAACGAGGCGCAGTGACAGGATAAGTTGGGAAGAGAGGAGGACGACGACGAGATGGGCGAGGAGGAGGATGCGAAGGAGCATGCCGAGTGAGGATGACGAGGAGGGGTGAGGAACCCGCAGGTGAGGGCTGCTGGCTCAACTGACGTGTGCCGAAAAGCCTTCTTTTCGCTGCAGGAAGTGAAGGTCGCATCGCCCCCCTCCCCCCAGGGAGCAACGCACAAACGCAGCGCACAGGCCCCCCCCTCATGCCTAACATGCCTTTGATGCCGGGGGAGGGGATGGAGGAGGGAAGGAGGGTGGGGCGAACCCTGGAAAGCCCACCCCGCAAATGGGGCACCCCAGCGGTGGCGGGCGCGAGGAGGTGAGCAGGTCGGGCGACGGGATGTGCGTCCTGCCCCGGGCTGCTGGCCAGGCGCCTCCTGGGCCCAGGATTAGGTCGGGCATGCCCTCCTACAGGCGTACAGGCGGATGTTGGAAGGAAGAACCATTATCAAAAATCTTCCAACACAACAGAAAAATTGGGAAATCGTCTGCAGACTCGACTGTTTTTGAACATTCCTCGTGTGGAAGGACACGCCCGACTTCAGCCCAGGAGCGACCCCTTCCCAGCCATGCCGGGAGGGCGCAGGCACCGCCCCTGGGCCCTGGGATGGAGAGTGAGGCCCAGCGGCCAAGAGGGCAATCTGGGAATGCAAGGGCCGCGTCGCCCCAAAGGGAGCGATGTAGAGGGCAGACAATCCACCCCCGTAGAAATCGTCACAATCGTGGCTGGCCAAATAGCACCAAGACCAGGACCCAGTGTACAACACAACGCGCTGGCGCTCCCGAGGCCACGATCTCTTAGAATAGAGGGCAGGACATCCACCCCCATAATCCGCCGGCCCCCTTGTGGGGCCACCAGGCTGTAGGCGCGTGATTCGCAGTTTCCTGCACCAGTTGTAGTATCTAGTTTCCAGTGTTACAGTTCTGCTTCTTGCTGGTTGCTGTAACTAGTTGACTTCTTGCTGGTTACTGTGACTAGTTGATTGACTGCGCGAGGGGGGGGAGGCCCAAACAGGATTTTCCAGCGTCCCCTGGGCGCGTTGTCTGAATTGCTGGGGGGGCTCGAAATCGACACCCCTCACGCAGATCCGCGGGGTCAGGGTCCAAAAACACAGGAGATTTGCTACATGTCTGAAATTCGGTGCCACCCCTCACGCAGATCCGCGGGGTCAGGGTACAAAAACACGCGGGATTTGCCACAATTCTGAAATTCGGTGCCACCCCTCACGCAGATCTGCGGGGTCAGGGTCCAAAAACACAAGGGAATTGCCACATTTCTGAAATTCGGTGCCACCCCTCACGCAGATCCGCGGGGTCAGGGTCCAAAAACACATGGGATTTGCCACATTTCTGAAATTCGGTGCCACCCCTCACGCAGATCCGCGGGGTCAGGGTCCAAAAACACAGGGATTTGCACATTTCTGAAATTCGGTGCCACCCCTCACGCAGATCCGCGGGGTCAGGGTCCAAAAACACATGGGATTTGCCACATTTCTGAAATTCGGTGCCACCCCTCACGCAGATCCGCGGGGTCAGGGTCCAAAAACACAGGGGATTTGCCACATTTCTGAAATTCGGTGCCACCCCTCACGCAGATCCGCGGGGTCAGGGTCCAAAAACACAGGGGATTTGCCACATTTCTGAAATTCGGTGCCACCCCTTACGCAGATCCGCGGGGTCAGGGTCCAAAAACACAGGGATTTGCCACATTTCTGAAATTCGAACCCATCACGCACATCCATCGCAAGGCGTGGTAACCCAAACTGCGAGAACTCCCTCGGCCCTTTAATCGCAAGGTGTGGTAACCAAGCCCTTAAACCATACACGTCTTACCAATCGCCAGGTGTGGTAACCCCTCTTGTGATCAGTTGGTTTTGCTGATTGCGACTCGGCTTCGCATGAAGTTTCGATACTGCTTCACGACAGCGCCAAGGCCTCATGACTTAGCTCTTCCATGGCCCATTCTCCGAGAGAGGGGGCCGGCGGCAGGGGGCGAAGCCCTTACGGATAATCGCCCCGGTAAGCGGAGCAGTCTAGTAAACGCACCCAAGGAAGGAATCGAATAGGGCAGGGATGTTTAGTACCCCCCAGGGCTGCTTAGTAAACGTATTTTGTCGGGTGGGGGTGGGCTTTCCTTCCTTGATAATGGGGAGCCGCCAACCAGCGTCACCATAAGACGAAGCCAAGGCGAAGATAACATCGGGTGAGGCTAAAACGAGAACCCTGAGATCCGGCGGCTCTGGAGGACATCTCGGGCGCCGCGGCCTTCTCAGAGCGTTCCGCAACGCTCTGAGAGCGTTCTGGAACGCTCTGGAACGGATTCCTCCTCCTCCTCCTCCTGCTCCTCCTCACTCCTCTCCTCCTCCTCCTCCTCCTCCTCCTCCTCCTCCTCCTCTCCTCCTCCTCTCCTCCTCCTCCTCCTCCCCCTCATCGTCCTCACTCTTCCTCCTCCTCCTCCTCCTCCTCCTCCTCCTCCTCCTCCTCCTCCTCCTCCTCCTCCTCACTCCTCCTCCGCCCCGCCCCGCCCCGCCCGACATTGCCTGAATTTGCCCCTGGCGTGCAGTCCCTGCGTGGCGGCGCGCAGGAAAGGGCGCGAGCGAGAGCCGCAGCCGTCCAACACGGCCGGCGGGCTCCGCGAAGGGCCGGGACGGCGGATCTCGCGTATGGCTTCTTCGGAGGCGGGGGGGGGGAGGAGGAGGAGGAGGAGGAGGAGGAGGAGGAGGAGGAGGAGGAGGAGGAGGAGGAGGAGGAGGAGGAGGAGGAGGAGAAAGAGGAGGAGAGAGGAGGGAGAGGAGGAGGAGGAGAGGAGGAGGAGGAGGAGGAGGAGGAGGAGGAGGAGGAGGAGGAGGAGGAGAGGAGTGAGGAGGATGAGGGGGAGGAGGAGGAGGAAGAGGGGGACGAGGAGGAGGAGGAGGAGGGAAGAGGGTGTGGGACGGGAGGATCGGAGATACTTGAAATATGCTGACCAGGTTCTGTGGGGCGCAGGCTCTATGGAGGCCATCGCAAACGTGTCGGGGGCGCGCAAACATGGATTATCGATCCATGGATTTGGCGCGCGGTCGCCACATCCATGGATCGGAGGAGGTGCCCTCCCCCAAATGCGGCCGTTGCCGCCTCGCTCGGTGGCGGAAATTCGCGATTTCCCATGGAAGCGGGACCCGTCGCTGATCCACGCCCCCTTGATCCATGTTTGCGATCGCCTGATATATGGCTTCTTCGGAGGCGGGGGAAAAAGGGTGGGACGGGAGGATAGGAGATACTTGAAAGATGCTGGCTCTATGGAGGCCATCGCAAACGTAGGCCTGCGATCAGACTGCGCGGCCCGCCGCTGCCAGAAGCTTCTGAACCGTCGTGCCTACTTGCAGGGCGAAGCCCCACAACCGCGCATACGCATGACAAGAACGAGGGCAGGGAGAAAAGAGTCGACGGGGGAGAGAGGGACTACCTGCCCCTTCCCCATTACAACTGGTCCTTCGTCCTCCCTCCTCCCCCTTCCCTCCCCCCTTCCCTTCTCTCCCCACCTCCATACTCCGCCTCGTCATCCTCTTCGACGTCCCCCAATCCTCGCTCTCCTCCCTGACAACTTCCCCGACCCTCCCCCCCACGCCGAAAACGCATTCTCGACCTCCACCCCCTCTCATGCCCCCCACCCCGGTCCGTGCTGCCCCGTTGCCCTCGCCCCTCCTCCCCCTGCCTCCCCCTCAGTCACACTAAGTAGCCCCCGCCTCTGCCCCCCCCCCCCCCTGGTCCGTGCTACCCCGTTTTGCCCTCGCCCCTCCTCCCCCTCCCCCTCCGTCCCCCTCCGTAGCCCCCGCCTCTGCTCCCCCGTCCGTGCTGCCCCGTTCTGCCCTCGCCCCTCCTCCCCCTTCCTCTCGGCCCCCCTGAGCAGCCCCCGCCTCCGCCCCCCTCCCCCCGGTTCGTGCTGCCCCGTTTTGCCCTGGCCTCCCCTCCCCCTCCGCCTCACGGTGCGGCAAGCAGCGGAGAGGCGAGGAGACGAGGGGGGGGGGGGGGGGAGCACCCTCGCGGCCCCCGCGGCCCCCGGTGGAACCCGCGGCCGCGGCCCTTCTTCCCGGCCGCCTTGCCCCTCTTCGCGCCCGAGCCGCCCTGCACCCTCGTGGAGTTGGTGCGGGCCACGTCCAGCACCGCGGGGGCGAGGATCAGGCGGACCTGTGGCGGCTCCTCCTCCTCCTCCCCCTCCTCCTCCTCCTCCTCCTCCTCCTCCTCCTCCTCCTCCTCCTCCTCCTCGCGATCCTGTTTTGCGCGGAGGCCCAGCGCGGAAGGCAGTACCCTTGGACCGCATGTCCACGGGCTTGCGCCCCAGGATTGCGGACCGCAGGGTCCTCTCGTTCTGCGACGCTCGCCGCAGGCTGAGGCCGGACATGTCCTCCTACGGACGGGCGTTGGAAGGAGAACAACACACTGTCAAACAAAACCAGTCAACCATAGTCGAGAGAGATCGCCCGCAGACGATGCAGGTGTTTGGATATTCCTCCTGCAGGGGGACGTGTCCGACTTCAGGCCGCCACTTTCTTCAGCATGAGGGAGGAGAGGAGGTCCTGGAGGGGCGTGCCCCGACTTCGGGCCCCAGGGGTCATCCACGGGCCCCGAGG